TTTTTTTTTTTTTTTTTTTTTTTCCCTTTCTTGGGCAGGTTTAGCTCACTCCTCCAAGGTTTCATGCCTTATTGGGTCCCATGTGTCTCTCCCAGTTCTTCCATAAATACCCAACACTTCCTCTTCCTTCATCCCCTTTGTTCTCTCTCTCACAGTTTAGTTTCGTTTACATGGCAATCCTGAATATGGAGGAAGAAGTTGGGTTTCAGGGTGAGGTACCTGAGAATCATCAGGAGTTCACTGCCACTGAAATCCAAGAGCTTTTGTCACTCTTTCTAGTCAACGACGGGCCTCCGAGTTCCGGTTCCGATTCACAGGGTTCGATGCCGACCTCGGCAGCTTGTTCAACCAATGACGACGAGAGGAAGCTGCGTCGGATGATATCAAATCGGGAGTCGGCCCGGCGGTCACGGTGTAGGAAAAAGAGGCATTTGGAAGATCTGACTAATGAGGTGAACCGGTTGATGATCCAGAACCGGGAATTGAAGGATCAGCTGGGCCGGATTCTCAGCCGCCGCCATATGGTTCTGAGAGAAAATGATTGGTTGTGGATGGAGTCCGTGGGTCTTCGGGCCAGACTTTCGGATCTTTGCCGGATCTTTGCCGTCATGCAATAACCGTCAAAGAAGCTTACGTAAAAGTTAAAAAGGAAAAAGGAAACAAAAAATTACTACAGCCCAAAACGCCTTGTATCATACGCATTGGAAGTGAAGAAAATATAAATGCTCTTTTTCTTTCTTTGAATAAAGGCAGCTCCCTTGAAAAATGTTAAAAACAAATTGTTTTCTTTTTCTTCAATTTTACTTGGTCTCGCCGGACTTCATCCCAAATAAAGGTAGTTTGGTAAATTAAGAAGATTATTTAATGGCGTTTTTAACCGCTGATTCCGTTTGTCAGTACATTTTATTCTTTCTAATGGACTAATTTTCTTCAACATATAAGGATGTTCTTGACCAATTAGGAGGCCTCATAGTATTAAATATTATCAAAAACCAATAATTCTTTAATACAAAAAGTATAAAAAGTAAATAAAAAGGAAGGGATTTTGAAATGTTGTTGGAGGTATCTTTTGGGCGATGCGTGCACATGAATCACTGAAACCCATGCTCTTGCCTGCAAAATGCATCTCAATAAAAATTCTATTTTGACCACTTTTTTTAAAAATTTTATTTTATAAATATATATAATAATAACAAAAAACCAAACCTTTTTACGTTACAAACTCTCTGACATCAATGAACTGAACCCTTTTTCAAAAATTAAATAATTAGCAAGTTGCTTGTTTGGTGCCAGTCCTTTTGTAGTTCTTTAAGTATTACAATTTACAACTTATTAGACAAATATTTTAAAAGTCTGTAAATTTCTGTCTGTTAGTTAGAACTAAAAAAATAAGCATAATAACTAAAAAATTCGAACAACAAATTTACTCGCTAAGAATTGGAACAAAAATTATGCTAGAAGTTGTTTGAATTAAGAATAAAAAAGATTGAGAATTAAATTAGGAGTTGTTTATCAATAAAGATTGGGTTGAAGAATTGACCAACCCGAATTTCTGAATTGGTCTAAGAAATTTCTCTAATTCGACAACGGAGTGCATACCCTCCTACCTAAAATATAGAAGAAAAGATTGATACACGTGTTCACGAGCTTTAATTTATTTTCGTTCAACTTTATTAAGCTATTATAATTCAGGTGTACTATAATGCAGGGTAGCTTTATAACAAACTATGAGAATATACTTGTCCTCTTACAACGAATTCAATGGTATATACACTAAAGAAACTCCACATATATTATTATATGTATTTCAACATCAAAAACATATCTCCTTGAATAAAATGAATACATAAAAACAAATTCATAATCCACAAAACTTTCTGCACATTCATCATTCACTAAATCTTAAATTTATTGTTTAAAAAGATGTAAAATCAAGATTGCAAAATCTTTCTCCCTTTTATCATAATCTATATACTTTAATTTAGAGGGGATATATTGTGGTTGATATTGATACATTACCCTTTCAACAATGCATGTGCCTGTGCACAATATAATAGTAGATTTCTAACAATTGTGACATTCATATAATTGATCAATCATACCCAAAAAGAAAACCCACATTAACCAATTAATTAAAGCTCGATTATAAATATTTAATTTTACTCATTGTATTTTTAGTAAATTATAGTTTATTGTTGTTTTTTTAGATTAACATTTTGTATAAATTATAAAACCATATCCACGCAATGAAAATATTATTACTTAATTAATTTAGATAAAAATAATCTTGAAGGATTAAATTCAAGATTTATTCAAAATATAAAGTCAAAACATATTTTTAATCTAAAAAGCAATCTCCATAATTCAAAAGAGGGGGCTGCCGACCCCTTTTTGGCAGTTCCACGTGGACGGTGCAGATTGGAGGTGTTGAACCGGAAATGAAAAGCCAAAAAGGGGCGGATAAAAAGAAAGCAGGGAAGAGGTTAGCAATAGCCACGAGTGTCCGGTTGACCGAAGGAAGTGAACCTCACTATTCATGCCATGTAATGGTCTACGTATCACTCGCTGATTGGTTACCCTTTTTTTGGGGTGATTTATTTGAAGCTGATTAAAGCTAATTGAATCACTTTATTTTTTTAGGGGAAAAAATAGCGTGGATTGGGAAATATGGTTCTACTTATTATGCTTTTCTTTGTCAGATGGAATGTATCAAAGTCGTTGCAACGACTCTCTTTTTTAATTTAATTAAATTTGCATTAAACAATATTTTTGAAGTTGAATAGAGGAACAATGTAATAATTAAAAGGGTACGTTTCAGAAAGTTAAAAAAATTCCCAAATTGGGCTTAGATTTAGCCCAAATCATTTTTAGAAAACATTGGGCCCGGCCCATTTGGTCTAATTGGGCTTATATTTGTAATCTTCTTATCTATCCATTTGGTCGAATTTAGAAAACATTGGGCCCGGCCCAATGTTGTAAATGTAGCCCAACCATTTCAGACTGGCTTGTTGGACGTGGAGATTTCGTCGAAAAGCCATCTTTGGTGCGGCTAGGGTTTCGAAACTGAATCTTTCAACATATTGTTACGCCCAAGAGTTAGGGTTTATAAGACCTTATTTTCTCTATAAATTGCGCCGTTCAATGTAAACCAGTGAATTACAGTGCCCTTCCCACGTTCAATCCCTTCAGCACTTGCAGCACTTGCTAACACTCTTCACATTTTCTATGGTTCTTTCGTTTTTCTTATCAAATTAGATGTCTACTTTGATTTTTTCGCCTGGTTCTTTCAGTTTACAAGCGCGTTCTATGATATAATTTCGAAGATGATATAGATCTATTTGCTTCCTTCTTCGTTGTGTCTATCGAATTCTGACGTTTTTTTTTTTTTTGAACTTCTTCTACGATTTGGTAGAATCATTTTGATTAGAAAATTGTTTTGACGAGCTTGTTTGATTTGGCTTGGTTGCGATGATTATAAAAAATTCCTCGTTCTGAATGCTATTGCCATGGCATGACAGACACCTTACACCCATAGAATATGAGCAACTTGCCTTTCTCAATCCACTATGTTATTTTGGTATTTTTGTATCGTTTTATGAACTCTTCTTCTGATCTTCTCTGTATTTCGAAAGCCTTCTTTTACTCTTTCGATTCAGTTCTTGTTAGATTAATTGGACTGATTGAGTTTGTATAATTATAGATAAGTTGTTTATGAATCTGATTTATGATTTGGAGGCGCTAGGGCAAAGCTTATTGGGATTTCATTGTTACCGAACTTATAATCTTAATGTGACGGAGTTATACTTCTTGAAGTCGCAGCGCATGTTCATGTAACTGCTTTGTGTATCTCTGCAACTCCTATAAAGATAATGGAGGTGTTTAAAGCCCTAACTTGGTAGTGGAAATGCTCCTGAGGTTAGGGTTACGCACACCACCATATTCCAGTAAGACAGATTCTTTTCTTTATCATCTTACAGACGCCGCTACGATCATCAAGTTCAATTTAACACATGTTTTAAAAACATTTAAACTAAATTGCATTTGTTTTCACACCTTCCTTTAAAGAGATTTTCATAATTTTAAATGCACATTGGAATTCTAACCCAAAATTCACACATCATTTTATTTCCCAACTCAACTTCAAATTCAATTATTCTGGGATTATTTTAAGTGAATATTAGATGGATTGATAATCTAGTATTTATCAAATACAGAACACAAAGAATTCTAATAATAAGAATAAAATTTTAGAATTTCATTCACCGCAGGAAAGATATCAACACGAGTAGAATTAAGGAAAATAAAACATGTTCTTGGACCTGGGAGATTGTTGGATTAATAAAGAACCTTAAATTCTAGATCCCCTCCATATTGGGCTGTGGTTAAGAGATATTCTCTCTTTATTTTAAACAAAGTCTTATACAAGTGACCAATCGACGGGGAGTAACTTGGGCCTTTGGAGTTGAAGGCTGGGCCCATTAAAAGGTGAAAGTTCTCTTCGATCTTGCAAAGCCAAAGCCCTTAACGAGGTTTCCAGAAAAAAATAAGGGGAGAGCGGTGGGTAGAATCGACCAAAACAAATATTATTAAAATAATAATTATAATTAGACTTGGTTCTATTGTTTGTTAGGCCAACTACCTCCTTAAAGAAAAGAACGCGCAAACTCTGAACCACAAATAAGTGTATTGCCTAAGTTTCACTCTCAAGTTTGGGAAATTAGGTATTCATACCCCTCGCTCTCGCTCTTTATTTTCTGTCTTTTTGTCCAATAAACAAATTTTTCGTGTAGGGGATGATGTAAACCCTAGAATATACACCAATATTATTGTTTCTATTATGGAAAATATACACCAATATTATTAATAAATATATGTATGTAATTTGCATGGGACTCAACGGAACCCCCACCCCCAATTCCTCTCATTTAAATGAAATGAAATATGCTATCCAATTCCTGTCCATTCTCCCCATTGAAATGAAATGAACTAATAATTACTCAATTGGTTAAAACATATAAATGAAATGAACTATGTTCGACAATCTTCCGACTAGTCCACAATTGTATATGTTGAGTGAAATTTATTTTTGGCACCAGCGAGGCAATGCATTAAATATTGAAACCTACCTATTTTGAGAGTAAGAGAATAAATAAAACAAATGATAAAAGAAAATGTTACCAAGTATAAACTTGGTTGAGAATGGTAGGTAGGCAGGCAAGTCCAAGTCCAAGCCCGAATCCCAAAATTGTCCCACATGGTGAGCGAGTTGGGTTGCAGCTCAAGGGCTTTTATGGGAACTCTAATATCATTATTTAATAGTCTTTTATTTTAATACAAACATTAATTAAATTAATACTCACCCTATCACTATCACTATCCTATGTAATTTTATTAATCCCCCTCACCATGTGACCTTCCCAAATCCAATCTCTCCTGCTTCCATGAAAATTTAATTCTTTAGTGATTATGTGGAAACGATTTTGTTTAATTTGTTACATTATCAAATCATAAATAATGAATCCAAAAAAAAGTATAGAGTTGTTGGTTAAAAGAGCTGTATTTATTG